TGAATCAAATAGTTTAATCTTCTCGTTAACACCAAGTGGTACAACATCAAATAAGGAGTTCAATGTAAATATGGCACGAAGTGCTTGTTCTGATAAAGCTTTTTGAGCATTATAAAATTTACCATTTCCTGTCAAAACTACACCTAAATAACAAAATTTACTAACAACATTTAACCTTATATCATCATAATATAAATCAACTTGCTCAAACCTATTTCCTAATTTAAAAATCATAGCAACTGTTTTTGTAGTATTTACAGTGACATTCCACTTTAAACAATATGACTTTAATTTATTCAATAATATTTGCAAGCCATTAGACGAATATGAAAACAACACAGTATCATCTGCGAACATGAGCATAAATATTTGCAATTCTTCTAAAGTTATTGTATCAGCCCTATTATCAGCAATATACCTTTCCATGTCATTTATAAACAGTATAAAAAGCAAGGGAGACAATGTTTCGCCTTGCTTAACGCCCATATAACTATCAAAATAATCAGTAACATTACCTCGCACCCTTACACAAATTTTCACAGAGTTATACATAGACTTTAACATAGTAATAAATTTAGAAGAAAAATTATATTGCATTAGTTTATACCAAATACCATTCCTATATACCATATCAAAAGCTTTTTTAAAGTCTACAAATGCACAGTACAATTTTTTACGTTCCTGGTGGATTATTTTATCAATTAATGTCTGCAATACAAAAATACAATCAATTGTGCTTCGTTTTTGTCTAAAACCAAATTGACAATCTGTTAATATGTTATTTTCTTCGGCAAATTTTCGGGCTCTATTATCTAACAAATATGAAAATATTTTTGAAAAGATGCTTGTTAACATTATTCCCCTATAATTGTAATTTACATGGGTTGTAAGTGCCATTGATAATGCGTAAATTGCATTCTTTTGGTTACTTCACAATATTATAATGTTAAATACATTATCAAATTTTCATGAAAATTAGCACGAATCTGGAGGCGTGCTGCTTCAAACATTTTAATACTCTTGAAATTAATACATGTGATGAAAAATGAAAAAAAATGCCACTATTATGGGTACAACGCAGGTACATGTATCTCCATTAACTGCAGTGATGGTGAATAGAGGATCGAACCCTTTTACAAACATTTTTACATCATTTATTTCTAATTTTATAGTTGTTTGTTTGGATAGAATCATCATGTGAGAGGTAATATTTGTAATCCGAATATATGAAACCCAATAAGCATGTGAAATGCTTCCTAAGACGTATCGAACTTGGTCTCCATGTGAACGCTTTTATGTAAAATGTAATTTAAGATGCATAGAATTGGTTGGTAAAACCTGTACCCGTTAAAAGACATTGATAGCATTTATATATCATATAACTTCAAAACATGTGCCTTATCATCAGGTGTTATCGATTAAAAAGTTTCAAAGTTTCAAAGTTTTATTTCATAAAATATCCTGAAGGCCAAAAGCCCATGAGGACAACATTTTAAACAGTGTACAATCATGTTGAAAATTATTACTACATACAATGTACTAACATATTGTTATAATCGTGTATGCTTCTAACTCTCTAAGTAAAAGTATAGTTATAAACATGATCTAATTTTTTAATACTGATTATGACATACTCTATTCGCATTACTTCATCTTACGAAGTGTGCTATTGATTGCACAAATTAATAACACTAGTGACTAGAACTTCATGACCTAATAAGAATATCCATATGCTTCGCAAAGACCAAAAAAAGAAAATTATATCTGACATATCACAATGTCATATATCATTTATATTTTTCATTATGCCTGATGTTTGCTCGAATGCGAATGAGAAAAATATATCACAAACAAATTCCAAAAATTATTTTTTTTCTCAGGAGATAGTGTTACATAAGAAGATGGATATTATTTTTAACACTTAACAATATTCAGAGAAATTTTCAGATAACATACATATAATGACAATGTTACTTCATAATTTAATGTAATATTTTTCAAATATTTGACATTACATGGCAAAGATCAGTCTCTCAAACCTAACACACAAGCACAAAAGCAGTAGTAAAATTGTTTATCTTACATGTAAGGGAAAAGCACATTCTGTCCGCCCGCACCAGCTGTTATATTTACACGTTTGTCTTAACAACTCGTGTAAATATCACATCCAGCGCTACCGCACACAACCCGCCCCAATCCAACAAATAAGACATACAAATATCTTTATGTATTATTATAACAAGCACAGTATAAAACATCTACATTCATATAACGCCTGTTTCGGGCAAGTTTCATAAATGCTAAAAGAAAAAAATTAAAAAATATTACTAATTGAAATAACTAGTTGACAATAAGTATGCATACTGATATTTGCTCTATAGAACATATTTAACTAACAAACATTTTTGTATGTCCATTACTTAAATATATAATGTACACATCACTTGTATATAGTAAGACGGACAAATATCCTTTATTAGGTCAATGCATCAACATTTATATAATGCCTGTTATGAGCGAGTTTCATATATTCTAATTGTAATATAAAATTGTCATAACAAGTATACATACATATATATATTTTTTTTATGTTCCATAAAACATATCTGATTAAACTTATTTTTCTTTATTTAATATTATACACACTACTATAGAGTAAACGTTCAACATTTGTTTTACTTATCATTGTAGATTTATAATTCTAAATTACCCTATATCAATCTGTTACTGTCTATATACATGCAACGCTATCAAAGACTATAATTTTCTTAGCATTGTATATTAGCTTACATTATTACTATATAAATTAGCAGAACGAATCATAAATGCCTTGTAATTATACACACTTAACTTTGTCAATAAAACTTCATTATCAGATGTAATTAGTTGAATAAATTTACACATATTGGGTCTATATCTATAAAAGCTAGGAATATAAATGTTTCTTATATCTGTATATGCTTGGCACTGTAACACAAAATGAAATTCATCTTCTAACACTTGGCATATACTACATTTTCGCTGCTCTAAAGGAATCGCAGTGGGCTTTGCCCATCTGCCGCTTTCAATACTTAGTCTATGAGATGACATACGCAATCTTGATAAGCTAAATCGAAACTTTTGTATGTTGCATAAATTAAGATAGGGCTGTAACCTTAAGCTAGCTATGTTTCTATAAAAAGTGCTCTAGTTGAGCTGTTAAGTCTACTATTCCAGTTTTGTATGAAATTATCAGACAATCTTTGCTCAAAATAGTGCAAAAATATTACCTTATCACCTACATCTTGAAAAAGCCACACATCATAAAAACCAAGTGTACATAAAAGATCCCTCAATAATGAACACCAACTTTTCTTGTTAGGATACCTTTCACAGTCATTTAATAAAGTAATATAGATTTTCTTGTTAAACTTATTATCTTTTGTCTGTAATAACTTAACCCAGTATTTAACAATCTTTAAATATCTCAAGGTTTGAAAATTTATACGCCCAAGTTCACCATAAACAAAATCATTTTGTGTACATCTTTTAACACCAAGAAGTTGCTTGCAAAACTGCAAATGGACTCTTTCAATTGCACAACCTTTTGTGAATCCCCACACTTCACTACCATAATTTAAAATAGGTGTAATCAGTTTATCAAAAAGTTCAAGCTTGTGTTTCACTGTAATATTAGTGAATTTATAGAGGTATTTATTCATCTTAAATATAGCTTTTGAAGCTTGACCAGCTAAAGTATTTAATGCATCAGAAAAAGAACCACCAGTAGAGAAAACAATTCCTAAATAATTAAACTTATTTACAATTTCAATAGAGTTGCCACTGTAATAAAAATTTATGTTTACTGGTAAACGACCACCTTTTCTAAATATCATTACTTTTGTTTTATCAGTGTTCACAACAAGTTTCCACCTTTCACAATATTCATACAATGTATCCAAATTATTTTGCAACTCAGTTGCTGAATTAGCAAAAATGATGATATCATCTGCATACAAAATCAAAAATATTTTGAAAGTGTCAATATCAATACCATTTACTCCTTTTACATAAAATTCTGATTCCAAATCATTAAGAAACATTGAAAATAAAAAAGGTGATAGGGACTCGCCTTGCCTTACTCCAAGAGTGCATTGATAGATATCACTAAATTTATTTAAATATTTTACTCTAGATTTAACAGATGAATACATAGATTTAACTATATCAAGAATTTTCCCCCGCATACCTAATTGAATTAATTTAAACCATAAATTGTCTCTTACTACATAATCAAATGCTTTAGTAAAATCAATAAAAGCACAAAATAATTGTTTACCTTGGTTGATTAAATGAGTAAGTAAACCATGTAATACAAAAATATTGTCTATAGTACTCATGTTAGACCTAAAACCTGCCTGTGCCTCAATGTATACTGAATAATGTTCTGCCCAATCTGTCAATCTATTATTTAAAACACGTGTGAATAATTTACCCAATACACTTAACAATGTAATGCCTCTATAATTATTTTCATTATTAATACTACCTTTCTTATGTAACGGTATAACATAACCATCAGACCAAGTTGATGGGAAGTATCCAGTATCAAAAATTTTATTAAAAAGACTGTGCAAATATGGAAGTAGTACTTCTTTTCCGTGTATGAAAAATTCATTCAAAAGCATATCTGGCCCGCTACTTTTATTTATATTTAACTCTTTAATAGCTCGTTCTATATCGACTATTGTTATTTTTTCATTGAGTTCATCAAACATTACGTTAAATTCTTGATTTTCATACCTTTCCAGAAAATAGATAATATCTTCATCAGGTGTAAAATATGTACTATTTGGATTATTAATACTTTTAAAATACTGCTCAAAAGCATTAAGTGAAATGTTACTACTCTGTACCCCCGCTGAACTTTTAAGCATATTTAAACCATTTAAACCAGATTAAAACAACTGAGCATTTTGTGAACATGCATGAACGTGATATTCTATATTGATCTAACTTCAATTTTAGCAGAACAAAGTGGTTATTGGATGAAACGCTCGAGTTTTCTGTTCAGTATAAATATCACTTATAAAAGTTATAGTAATCAAATAGAGTGTTCAGGATTATTGATAAAATAACTCATATACCGTAAGTAGCACTAAATTATGCTTGCTTTGTTATTTTATAAAATAACACTTTGTTATCTAATGATATGTAATAGTTATAGTATATGAAACGAGTTATATATAGGAAAGAGTTTGTGACACTGTGAATTATGTGCGTTTATACTTATGATGACGTCATTACGCTGCTTACGGATTGGAGCCGCATATACAATTAGTCCCTATCCAGTGTTTATTAGCAGTTTTACACAATCTATTTTCTTCTTTGACTATAGTGACAAAATCGCGAGGAGTGTTAGAATATATTCTAAAACTCCTCGTGATTTTGAAACTATAGACAAAGAAAAAATAACGGAAGTAATCTCCGCTTAAAAAAAACAAAAAATTAGTGATCTCCCTTATTTTATCTTGTTAGAATCGAAATAATATCGGCCTGAGCGGTGTTTATCGGCTATTTAACACCGGTTTTGTCGTTTTGATGCGAAAAAATCTACGGCCTTCGTGGTCAATTCCTTCGCTCCAAAACTCCAAACCGATATTATTTCCTAATCAATATATCAACTAAGTAAAATGTAACTATTTAAAATTTAAACAGTGGATACCATAAAAAGTGGAGGTAGATTGGAAAATGTTAATACTTTGATTAAACAAGATATATAAAGTCAGGTCTTATATCAAAATTTGACAAACGCGTACTTGACCTGCTATAACGAGTATTGTAAATTATAAGTCCAATGTTTTCCCTCACCGATAAAATAGTCTATTTGCTTTCTTTACTTTTTTCTTGGGTTTGATATTGTGACTAAGGGGACGTGTTTTTATTTTTGCCTACAATGCAAGTAATAGAAAGAGAATCGAAACACAAGGCTATATACTTTTCTTTACAATTTAATACTTTGCAACAGGAATCTTACGTTCCATGTACTCTAAGTTTAATAAGCGCATATGCATGCAGACAAGTACATACACGCGCGCGTCTTTTTTCTCTAAATTATGATATGTTTAATGAAAAGATCTGGATCGATTTTATCACTTAACTTGCCATGGGAAAACATAGTAAATTTTGGTTTTGAAACGTTAAATAAATCGAATTAAGGTCTTTAAATATTGCAATGTTTAAATTCTGTTTAAAACGGATTTTACGTTAATCTCAATTTTAAGCCAACTCACACAAACAAGTACACACCCGCGCGCGCGTTTATTTTTCTATAAATACCTTAATACCTATCAATTTGACTGTATGTACCTGTTACGGCAACACGCATTTAAGGTTTCCTGGGAGATTTTACTCTTGGGGGTTTAAAAATAGTTTATTTCAAACAATGATACAACATGTTGTTAATAAATTTACAATAAGTGGATACACGAATGAAAAAGGATTAGAGCCGAAAGCTATAAAGCTTTCAAATGTTTTCAAATGTTTTCTCCTATATATGTATTTGTACAATGTAGTTAAATTATGACAGTATTTGCAATATTGTTTGAAACTTAACATATTTGGAACAAAAAAAGAATCGAAGGTTTGGGCTATGGAGCGCAGGGGGGGGGGGGGGGGGGGTCCTGGTGGTTGAGGAGGGGTAAAAATTATTGGATAAAGTCTTTTTTTTTTAGGAAAGAAAAGATCCTAATGCAGTAAAATGTTATTACTCTACAGCTGGCCAGTCTAGACAGGTTGTACTGTGGATTATTTTATATCCGCCTATGATTTTTAGCATATCGGTAATCAGTGTGTCCCCCTTGCCGGTTCTCATGTATTATGCATTTCTTTAAAAGAACTTGCCCACGGCCCTCTCATTCACGCATTCATGGGAAGGATATTTAATGTTCAACACTTTTCCCCTTTAACCCTTTGTCTGCGTTTTTTTGAACAACTTGCACACGGCCCTCTCATTTACGGGGAGGACATTTGCAGTTTAACCCTTTACATGCATTTCTTTAAAAGAAATTGCCCCGCGGCCCTCTCATTCACGTGGAGGGAAATTTTCAGTTTAACCCTCTCCCTGCGTTTCTTTAAAACAACTTGCCCATGTTCCTCTCATTCACGGGGGATATTTGCATTTGAACCGTTTGCCTGCGTTCCTTTATGAACTTGCAAGGGGAGGATATTAAATTGATATTAAAGTACTTTATTTAGTAATAAAGGAAAAGGAAAGTAGTTTTGTATTATCTTGTCTTTATCAGATTTAGTAAACCACACACCTTACTTCATTTAATACTTTCTTTTCAATAGTTGCAATGGAATAAACTCCATAGTTACGAAAAACAAACAAGTATACACAATTTATTCGTTTTTAATTTTTAGAAAATATGATAACCTAATTTAACTATTTCGGATTTTGAGAAATAAGATAACCTACATTTAACAAACTGATGTAAAATCCATTATGTAAATACATTAGTTTATGATAGAAATGATAACATAGGGTCACAAAAATATTATATATACATGTACATGCATGTTTTCCGACCCAAAAGCTGGGTAGATAAGTAGGTAGGTAGGTTGGTAGGTAGGGAGGAGATGTCTTTATACATGTATATGATATGTTTTATAAAGACATACGTATTGTTAAGATATAAATTTTACAAGTTCAGCTACCGGACGCAATAAATTTATGAGACCAGAAACTATTTGAAAGTTGAAAAGACACTTACAAGTCTGCAATTTTATCACTAACAGTGAACTTGCAGTTCTCATGAATTGCGAGTCTCATGAACCCCAGCATGAAATCGGCAAGTCATTTCGAAACCGGAAACGGAACTAATATATCTCACGGTACTTGCAAATCTCGTACGACTCCGACATGCGAGAGATTGAGTGTCGTAACTGATATATGAATTGTCTGAAATGTGCACTCTTAAACAATCAAGAACCCATGGGAATGACATTTATATTGCGTAATTCCATTTAAACTATAATCCAAAATAATCTCGCGTATGCGCAGTGATTGGGGCCAATGTGGCCCATATGCTGCTGTTAAGATACAATGTATTGTGAGGACAATAACATATTTGCCCATTTTTTTTGCTTCAATCAATTTTTCTATGATCACACATATACTCTGTTTATATTTTCTGTCTGTCGTCTGCTACAAATTAATTTGTTTATTATATTATAGCATAAAATCGACTATTTTTCCCTCTTTTGCCCATGTTATAACGGGACCAAAACCACGTGTCACCATGTGTCGCCCTACCGGGGTCGGGCACCAACCGTTCCTCGGCACTCTGTAAACGTTATAACACGGATAAACGTGCGTTAACCCTATATTAAGATGACAGAGCCCATTTATTTTTAATGTTGAGGACTTCTAGATAAAGTTTAACCCCCTCTCCCAAAATGAAAAACAACACCCCCCCCTCCCAAAAAAAAACGGCTACATGTATATGGATGTATGGGATAATGATAATGAGACCTGAAACAGGTTTATGTTTGTCCTATATCGATCTGTATTTGTCAGTGTGGTCGGCGATTTTCTGAAAGTGAGATTATACATTATTAGCTTAACCCAACTGAAAGATAAAATCAATATCTTTTTACCACCGCATGATATTGTTTCATTTAGACTTCGGACAATATAAAGGTAAGCTCGAGCCATAGAGTACTTTATAAAAAGCACTTAATCGTTTGAAACGGTTTAGCCGCGAATAAAATAAAATGGACGTTATGATTATCTTGAGATTCAAATTAAAAAAAAATCTAAAAGAATAACGTACGCGTTGTATCACTAACTCGTGTCGGTTTTACGGATCCGTTAAAAAAAGTATTACACGGCCATGCATATATTTCGACTTGACGTCAATCATAGCGTAAAGACGTGCATAACGTAAGCGTTACACTGTATGCGCGTCAATGCAAAAGTTGCTCTTTTTCTTACTGTAAACAGTTCTTATTTGAGTATGTGATAAATAGAATATTATATTTGTAAATCTCCATTACTAAATTCATTGAACTCGCATAATATACTCGATTTTTTCATAATGTCGTTAAAAAATTCAGTATTGAATCTACACTGTCATTTTGATATGTTCTATGTATTTTATGTATTTTTATACTAATTTTTTTATGACAAATTATGTAATGCACATCATAACATTTCTTTATATTATCAGTGGTTAATTTATCAGTGATTAATTAATACAATTTTTTTTTTCTCAAATGGATTCAGAGATAGGGCATGCACGTGAAAAATGCGCATCTTTTTTTTTCATCTTACAATACAATCACAAAAGACACGTGGTTACGCAAGAAAATGAGGAGTTTGTATAACTGAGCAAACGCAAACAATACGTGTACAGGCACACATTTATAATTGTTATACATGATTCGTTAAATTTTTTTGAGTTGGCCATTAAAAATGAATTAAAAGTTTTGTTTTAGAGGAAATTTTATTTCATAATTCACTTTCACCTATGTCATCCAATAGAACGGAAAAAAAAGAAAAAAGGAAAAAAAAAGAAGGAAATTTTAAGTTTAAATGGATATCTCGTTTGAGGTAAGAAACTTTGAAATGTACCACATGACGTAACTTCCGGAATAATGTTCCGTACAATACTTTATTCCCTATCGGAGAAAGTGTCCATTAAAAATTCTTATTTTGTAGAATTATTCACAGTAAACAATTCCTAATTTGTGAACTAATTGTTGCTTTAAAACATTGTAAATTTCGGCTACATTGTATATGATTTCTACGGTATTCTACGGTGTTTCATTTGGACAATCGTGATTTTTTTTATTTAGTCTGTACAGGCAACGTACGGTGATACGATGGTAAAAACGCGATGATACGATGGTACGATGTTCAAATGGCGATGTAACGATGATGAAAACGCGATGGCACGATGATGAAAACGCGATATAGTACGATGGTGGAAGCGCGATGGTGCGATGGTGAAAACAACGCGATGGCACGATGATGAAAACGCGATGGTACGATGGTGAAAGCGTGATAGTACGATGGTGAAAGCGCGGTGGTACGATGGTGAAAACGCGATGGTACGATGGTGAAAACGCGAAATAACATCGCG